TTTCGAGGTGTCATGAGTAGATATCTGTAGATGAAATAAGTACTGTGACGTAACAGATCTGTGATGTTGTAGTCTTATTTATAGTTTCTGGTAGAAGAGTGTGGTTATTAAAAGCAAAGATAAATAGAAAAGGCAATTTATTTAATTCAAATTTTTAAAAATAATGTTAGTCATTGTGATTATTATTAAGATGAAAGGTACTATGATGTAATGATGGAGTTGGAGTTTGGAAGTTGTTTTAAGGATCAAATATATCTCTCCATATATGTATACACATACATACACACATATATACATATACGTATATATAGTATTTTACAAATCTTAACACATCGTGTCCTTCCTGTTAGCAGTTTTTTTTAATGTTTAATGTCTTTAGGCTATTGTTCAGGTGGATAAAATGACTGATTTTTGTAAATCAGTAAAAGTATTAAAATGTAAACTCCTTTACACTAAACATCTTCAGGGTAACTCCAGTGACAGACTGAGATATCTACTTCATTGTGTACCCTCTGGGTTTGTTTTTAAAGCAAGATCTCTGAATCTGTGTGTACGTTAAATGAAGGCCAGCTAGCTTAGTTACTGTTGGTAAAGCTTTTCACCAGATTGACTATGGAATCAAAAGTTTTTGGCCGTAGCAACTCTCAAAAAACATCTGCTAGGCATTGGAGGCTTGAGATCCTGTGTCAGCAGTGGATAGGCCCATGTTAGTGAAATCACAGATTCTTCAAATACTGAAATAAGCTAAATATAAAGTTCTGAGAGCTGAGTTAATGAAAATTAATTTAAAGTTGAAGAATCATGGATAATATCATGGAGGAGATTTCATCTGAACTTACCTTTGAGGGCCATCAGTAGGCATAAGTAACGTGGGCTGGATCCTCTAGAGGTAGAGAGCTTGGTGAACAAAAGTGTGGTGTTGTGCAATATATGGATCAGTACTCTGGAGGAGGCTGTGTTTTCCTTCAGCACTGTGTAGGTGGTATTATAAACTAGTTATACTAAGTAGTTCTAAAGTAGGTGAAACTTATAAGACTTATGATGCTATAATTAGAAATTCCACGCTTTCTTTTTCCTGCTCACTCCGTCTCAGTTCTGTGTCATTGCATTTACCTCTGTAAGGCAAAAAACAGAGTTTGGGAATATGATTGGCTATTTAGAATAAGGCTGCATTGCAGATGTTCCTACTCCACCTCCTACTCTCACTTCTAGCCCAGGTATCTTAAGTCACCTGGCCAAAAGCTTGTTGCTCTTCAGATCCTTCACAACCTAGATCCTGCTGACCCTTCTTTGCCTCGATTTACCTCCAGGCTTATAGTAGGTTACAACTATATTGTATTGGACTCTAACCTTGCTCCCTGAAGTCTATATCCTAAAGCCTTCTTAGCTTTGAATCTTAATTCTGACTTTGTTGCAGTATCCTTTTTACATAACTAAGTAAAATCTCTGTTTTGTTTGAACGAATCTGCGTCTTTATTCGTTATATATCCGGAGCCTGAGAGAGACTGGCTCAGTCAGAGCCAATCTAGAACAAGATGTGAGTGCCAGTGTCTTCAGTAAAAAAAAAAAAAAGATGATTTAAGCTTCTGAGTAGTTCCATGCCATGGCATACTTTGTATTTTGGCTCTCTGATATTTGGTAGAATCCATTTACTCTGGACTCTCATAAATACTAATTTACCTCTCCTCAGCTCTTTGGATTTTATTGCCACTTAGACATATAGTTGACCTACTTGGTATTTAAATTTTAACTATCTTTCTATCTTGCCACTCCCATGCCCTAGGTAGGAGTTATCTTTTCACTTATCAGGGAATTTCCTTCATCAGGGGATTTTCTGCTTTACCAGTACCTACTTGCCCTGCTTGCCTGTTTGAACTCCTCAAAGATTAGAGGTTAAGTTGGGAGGGGCAACTGCCATTTGTCTAAGCAGTTGGTTAAATGAACCATGACAGTGTGATAGAAACTGTCTCAGACCTTTGAAAAACTTGCCATGGGAGTGTTTGAGATCTTAAAAGTCACAAACCAGCAGGAAGCTGTGGCTCTGGCCCCAGATAACACCTAATGTCTTATCCTTGGTTTTTTTTTCTTTTGCTGAGTACATGGAAAATTTCCAGTGTAACTTATTTATGTACCTTAATCCTGGTCATTCCCCAGAGACCATTGACGTGGTGTACTATCTGATAGAGCAGGACTATCACATCACCTCAAAACTATGGCTAATAGCAGCTCTTTAGTGGATATTGTAAATGGGTTTCTTCAGAAACTCCAGGAGACTTTGATTCTTTCCTTCTCTTTTGCTGGTTGACTAACTAGCAAATCTTCTAGCTTTATCAGGGAGAAAGAAACATATTCTGGACCCTAAGTCAGAATTTAGCATGGAATGCTCCTGTACTGGTACATTAATATTTAGAAAGTTTAGTAGTACCAACTTGAGATGAATTAGCCCTCATGGGGATCATTAACAAATTTGATAAGCATGTCTTCGTCTTTACTGGTATTCTTTTTGTCTATATCTATAGTCTCTCTTCCTTTTTGTTTTTAAATAAATTTTATTTATATCTTTTGTTTTTAGATCATCTACATTTTCCATTCACTTCTCTACTTTTTCTGAGCCATACCTTATAATTAAGATTAAAAAAAAAAGCAAGAGAAAAAAATAAGCAAAACTACCCAACATATCAGAAAGTCTGTTATATACAATATAACACATCCACGATCCCCAGCTTTTACAAGTGAATGTGGTCTAGGGGTCTTGGGAACCCTGAAATGAAAGAGCAAAGGGCATGGGTCTGCCCCGAAAGAATTCGACCACTCAAGACTTTTTTCAGTCCAAGTAGTTTATTAAAACACCAGTTGGGATAGGCATGATTCCTAATGAGTCTATGCTATTTATGATGCCGATAGAAGCGGGCCAGATTTTAAGAAACTGCTCATTTAACGAGGAAAATCTGGATGGGATCTGTGGGTGGCAGGTAGTCTTGGGTAGTCAGGAGGTAAGAGAGTCAGGGTCTAGATGGGTTAAGGAGTAGCAGGTAGCTTGGGGTGGCCAGGTGCAGACATTGAGGGTCATAATGAAAGGGCAGTTAAAAGTATTATTGACTAGGATGGGTGATACCTCAGGTAAAAGTCAGGGACTGGTCCATGTGGGAAAATCCAGGGTCTTTTAGGGGTCCATCATTAGTACCCTATCACAAATAAGAAGGGAGAGGCATCTTGTCATTTCTTTTGTTCTCCTTTTCAGAATTCAGCTTCAGTTTTGTTCTTTCCATTTATATAATTATATATATAGTCATTGCATATGCTTTTATTGTGGTTGAGCTTCACTTTGAAAATATCTTCTATGCTTCTCTGTATTTATCATTTCTTACAGCAAGTAATAGTCAATTACATTCATATGCTACGTGTTTAACCCATTTCCAGTGGATTGCATTTATTTTGTTTCCAATTCTTTGCTACTTCAAAAAGTGCTTCTGTAAATATTTTGATTTATGGCAAGACCTTTCTTTTTTGTCACCCACCTCTGGGATATATGGCTGACAATGGAATCTCTGAGTCAAAGTTGTGGACATTTGAGTCACTAATTCTCATAATTCCAGATTGCTTTCCAAAATAGTTGGATCCATTCACAATTTTACGACCAACAGAATAGTGTGGCTGTCCTTTCCACAACCCCCCCCCCCAGTTTTTACTATTTTGACCTTTTGTCCTCTTTGCTGATTTACTGAGAGCGAGGTAAAACTTTAAGCTTGTTTTGATTTCCTTTTCTCTTATCAGTGAATATTGGAGCATTTATTTATATTATTGTTAATAATTTGCAATTCTTTTGAGAACTGTTTGTTTATGTCTTTTGACTACTTATCTGTTGGGAGAACTTTTTTCCCTTTGAAACCCCTCTTACATATATTCAACATATTGCATTCCCTGTGCCAGTTTCCTGCTCAGAAGTTTTCTGCATCTTCAAAATCAAATCCAAACTAATCAGTTATAATCCAGATTCTCTGTTTTCTAGTTCCATTTTAACATTTTCATATAAATACCCTGCCACTCTTCTGTTCTAACCAAAATGATCTAATCAGTGTTCACTGAACTTATGCATATTTTTACCTCTGTAGTTTAAATCTTCCTCAGTCTTCCTACCCTTATACTTAGCTTTGCATGTCCTTTAAATCGTTTTATTTGTGAATTTTTTTCATACTATGAGAGATGAGCTCTGAGAAGTGAAGCCTCCTCAAAGGTCAATAATTCTTGATTATTGCTTTCAAAATCCTCCCCCGCTCAGACCCTGTTTTTAAGCACATAACAGAGAGAATAAGTCCTGCCCCCAACCTGAGCTGTTTGCCCTTAGCTTCCCGCCTTTTTTTCTTGTCTCTGGGATAAGGGAGAAGGGGATTGGGGAGAGGAGATTGCAGTGGATTTCATTTTCCTAGGAATTAGACCTAACTCATGGGGATTTGGCCCAAAACCCCCTCCTGATCATCACACCGCTGCTACGTCAGCATTAGGTTAACTAAATAAGGACATGTATATTTGGATTGGCTATACCCTGTTTCCTTCTCTTTGAATTTTTGAGCCTAGAATGTAAGTAAGCCCTCCTCCCAGTTAATGGGATAGGAAGATTTTCTTTTGCACCTAGAATGTAAGCCTGCCTCCCCAGCCAATGGTAATAAGGGATAGTGGTGGTGAAGGTTTTTTAGAGTATATAATCTCATTTTGCTTTCTGTGCCTCACCTCTCTCCTCCTGGAAGTATACCAGGGAGCAGACGCCCCTTCTCGCCAGATTGTAATAAAAGTAACTTTTGTTTTCCACCTTGAGGAGTCTCTGGGTTTAATTTGGGTTAGGTTTGCTGTCCCACACAATACCACAATTATTTTCCAGTATGCCACCTATCCTATTGAACTCTCCCTGGTAACATAAAAACAAATCACATTTGACAATGTATAGAACATTTTGAACCTGTACTTAACTATTTGTGTACTGACAGGAAGGATATTTCATCATCTATTCTCCAAGACTAAGGTTTATTTCAGTTATTCTGACTTCAACTACTTTTTAGTGTTGTTTTCTTTTATATTTTTGTAGTCATGCATATTGTTCCACTGGTTGTAGTTACTGTCTTTTGCATTAGTTCATACAAGTCTTTTCTCATTTCTCTGGATTATTTATATTTGTCATTTCTTATGGCACAATAGTATCTCATCATCTTCATATATTACTGTTTGATCAACTATTTCCAAATGGTCTATGCATCCGTCTTTGTTTTCAGGGTGTTTTTTTTTTTTGGCTGCAGCTAGAATAAAAGGAAAAAATACAAATTCTTAAAAAATGTATTAAACATCTAATAAAGTCTGACATGACAAAATGTGTGGATTTGACAGATTTGTGACCAAGAGCCATTCCCCAGTTAATACATGGCCAAGGGATACAGACCGACAGTTTGCAAATTAATAAATATAAACTATCAGCAACCATCTGACAAAGTCTACAGAGTTGCTTAATAGAGACATATGCATTTTACCCATCATTCAGTAAATATGGAAAAATTGTTGGAAGAGTTATGTTAAAAAAAAAAAAAGGCTTTTCTACATGGAACTCTATGAATTTGACCATCATACGATAAAAGTTATAAAATTGTTCATACCCTTTGACCCATTCATCCTGTTGCTAGGTTTATACGTATTATTGAGAATGAAATGAAAAAAAGACCTATGTATAAAAATATTCATAGAGAAATGTTCATAATAGCAAAAACATGATTTTAACACAAACTTGTCCAGGATTACAGAATAGCTGAAGAAATTATGGTGAATGGATATCGTGGTTTTGTGGATAATGATTAATGTGAAGAAATAAATAGGGGAAGACATATGAAATGATACAGAGTGAAGAAAAAAAATTATACACACTGACAAGAACTGTGTGAATGAAGGCTAAATGAAGAAACAAAATTCAGGTTAAATATAAGTGAACTTCATTTCCATCACTTTGCTAAATGATACAGATTTCCTTTTATTTTGACTGATAGCACAGTATCTGTCATACAGCAATGTAAAATTTATTAAGTGATTGAATTTTTATTACCTACCTAGTGTGTTCTAGGAGTCCTCAAATCTTCATAGGTCTTTGTTTGAATAACCTTCACTTGTGGCACCTGAATTTCAAGAAATACTAATTCATTTCTTTCCTCCTTCTTCCTTCCTTCCTTTAGGGTTCTTCTGTCTGCTTATCCTTCATGGGAACAGCTCATAACTGTTCTCTCTTTGTTACCTCAAAGAAGCTCAGACAAGGTGAGACTTCCAAAGGATAAAGCCTTATCTTCTCTTTGCAGCATGTAAATATTGAGTCATCATCTAGCCTTTTCATTCTAACTGGATTTTTTTACTTTTATCTAGTTTCTTCAGTTTAGCACATTTGTCTTGCTTCTTTCTGATTTTTGTTGAATGAAAGATTGACAATGTATCATCCTGCTTAAATTGCAGTTATCTTTACAGGACTTGATCCTGGGGTACACGCTCTTTTCTTTTGCTTTTTGGAAATCATATTTCAACATTTCCCTTTATTTCTCATTGTTGATGAACAGTCCTATGTGATTTGGATTGGCATTCCTTCAGATATAAACTGCCTCCTCTTGGCTGTTTTCAGGATTCTCTCATTGATATCAGAGCTCTGGACTTTTGGTGGCAACATTTTGGGTGAGTTAAATATGGGGCCCCTTTCTGAAAGCATCCTATGAATTATATTGATCTGCATTTTGCCCTCTTTTGCAATACTTTTGGGCATTTTTCTTCTATACTTTCTTAAAATCTGATATCATATTGTTTCAGCATGGCCAGTAATTCTCAGATTATCTTGCCTCAGCTTTGTCTTTAAGATGATTGAAGAGATCTTTAGGAAGATTCTTGAGTGATCTTCCAATTTTGATGTCTTTTCTCTATGCACTAACATTTGTTGTTCTCTCTGAATTTTTGAATTCCATCTCTGCCATTCTCTTTTTCAGCATGTACATGGTTTTATTAAACTTTCCCACTATCTGTTCTAAATGATTTATTTTCTTGTTTTTCTTTATTAAAAAAATTAAAGTACTCTAGTGGTGTTCTTCAGCTCTTCTTTCAATTCTTTTATTAAGGTCCTTATCTACTCTGTTATGGACGTTCCATTCTTGTTTCTGTGAATCTCCTTATTATACCAGCATTTTTCCTCTCTTTTCTAGTTGTTTAGCATTGTTATTTCCCCTCAGGTATTAGTTATGTCCATTTACTTTGTATATTTTTTTTTCATTTATCTATATCTATATCTGTCTATGTTTTATTCCCTCGGTAGAATATAAGGTCCTTGATGGAAAGTACTGTCTTCATTTTTGTCTTTGTACACCTAGCACCTAGCATAATACATGGGTCATAATTAGATACTTAATAAATGTTTTTATATTTAATTTTCCTGGAGAAGTCTCCTTATATCCTTTTACCTTACATTGTTTGTTTATTATAGTTTTTTGTTGTTTACTCATTTCTCTAGTCTCCTCTTTTTTTTTGTGAGGTTCCTTATGAGCATTTCTTTCCTTTCTTCCCTATTTTTGTTGTCATTTCTTTAGTACATTTGGCACATTTCTTGATGTTTTGAAGTTATGAAGGGGAGTAAGACTTAGACATGACCACTTCCTCAGACTTCTTAGCTGTAAGTCCCTTCCTTTGAGCATGACAAATCACAGACGTGTATGTTAATCACTCTTTTTGTTATTTTGATTAACTGTTTTTGTTAACATACTTTGTTTAGGTTTCTCTGCTCCATTCAAACAAAATTTATTAATTAAAATTATTAATTTGCTGGGAGCCGAGGGTGAGTTAGATGATATTTGAAGTTTTAGCTACAATATGGCTTTTTTTATTCATTGTTTCACAGTCCAGCCTTTAGAGTGAAAGAATTAGTTTTTGATCCTGTATTTGTATTTGATTTTATTCTGTAAGTAATATTATTCTGTAATCATATTCCTGTTCTCTGGGTGAAGAAGCTTATATATGCTAAAGTTCAGTCTACCTCTTTCTGAAGAGAGATACATACTAAGGATGCAATTGCTGTTAAAGAAAAACTCTATTCTCAGTGCTGTTATAAAATATTTTCTTAGCATTTCCCAAGGTTAACTGTTGCAAGGTTTGTTAAGTATCTTTGAGAAACCAAGGGCTGCTGACCTTGTTCCATCTTTAACAATTAAAAGGTAATCTTACCTAATTCCCTAGTGACCTGTAAGTTCCCCTTTATCAGTAATTCAGGATGCAACTAGAGATCCATAAAATTCGTAAAAGCATTTCTTAGGGATAGAGAGAGGGAGTTGTCATTTCACTAGGGGCTATGCCCTATTTCTTTGATATAACCAGTCATGATCTCTCACTTCTGTAATGCTGGCCAGTTACATGATTTTTGTTCTGTTCTTTGCTGCTTTTGTTCTATGCTTATAAAAATGTATTACACCCTCAATTTGGGGTCCTCTGGTGAGAGGTAGAGCCATTTGACCTATCAGTTAATGTTTGGCTGCATGCCATGTTAATAAACAAGGAGAATTTGCTCGGAGAATTGCCTAAGTTTACCCTTTTGTTAAATTTCACCCATGGCAAGAGCGACTTTTATAGATTACATCTGGCATGCATTAGAGCCCTTCTTTGGCAGAGCTTTTCTCTGTGGTTTTGTTTCAGTGTCACCATTATCTCATTTTTTACCTTGAGTTTAAAAATACTGAAATCTTAACCTTTTTCCTTAACAGTTTAATATCTGTATTTTATAAAGATTGCATGAAATAAATGTAGTTATTTACGCATTTTTGGTAGAAATTTTAAACCACATTAGATGTTTTCTCTTTAAACCCCTACATTATTGTGAGTATTTGGGGAGTGGAATTTGTTAGATACTGATTCTGCCATGTGTTTTTCCAAATTGGAAACATTCTAAATAATCTTAGAGCTTTCCCTTTTTTATTAAATGTGCCAGAAATAATTCCACATCGTTTGCTTTCTTTGTTCTTCTGCAACTGGAAGAAACAACAGTAATATTTGTCTTCATTCTGTCTTTAAATGCTTTTCAATATAAGTGGCCATGGAATATTATCTTATTTGTCATACCTGGCTCATTTCCTTGTACTAAGCCATAAATAGCATCTGAACCTGTTGATTATATAACTGATTGAGTCACACTTCTGTATTGCTGTCATGAATCTGTACCTTTCATCAGTTTTGAAGTTGTTATTCCACTTAGTAGCTGGATAATTACCATTTTCTACCATCTTCATTCTAATGTTCTTTTAGTCCAGGAGTTCTTAACTTTTTTGTGTGATTTACCTTTTTGGCATTCTAGTAAAGCCAATGAATTCTTCTGAGTAATGATTTTTAAATGCGTGAAGTGATAGAATTATATTTAAATAGTTATCAAAATATTTTTAAAAAATTTACTGAACCCAGGTTAAACACTCCTGATTTGGTCCTTCTCAGTGTGTCAGTAATTGTAAAGTTCATTTATTCTGATTTTCCTCTGAGATTTTTAATTGCTTTCACAAAAAAGCCTATAGATAGTATAATAGTGATACTTTTTGGAGATTGTTTTGCAGTGGTATCACTTAGTTACTACCTCATCATATTTGGAAAACTTAACCTAGGTAAAAGTAATAATCAATAGCCAGTAGACTTGTAAAATTGCAAAATGAATAGCCTTTTGATACTTTGAATACTACTTGAGTTATATTTAAATCTCCTTAATTTTTCTCTAAGACATAATACTGTATCTTGTTATTTAGCCTGCTTATTTTCATTAATGTTTAGTTGCCCATCATAGACATCCATGGGTACAATTTTAAAGGCTCAACTCTTCAGAATTATCTTCTGGTTGCCTTTTTTTAAAAATCTATTTTATTATTTTTATTTTTTTCAGAACCTCAAAATTCATTGTACATTCTATTTGATATGTGTGCTTATCATCATCAGTTACATATTTGTCTCTCAAGAAGCAAATTTTCCCAGTTCCTTATCAAATTTGCAAATGGTATCAAAAAGGATGTTGGGCTTCCAAATTCCATTTAGCCGCTGAAATCTTAATAACTCTTGCATATTATTGTCCTTTGCTTCTATATTTAGAGATGTCCTCAGATAGACCCTACTGTTAGATTTAGGTTGTCAGGCTAACACTGCAGAATTCTTTTAGAAGACCACAAGCAATGAGGTATGAACCAATACGCTTAAACAGATTGGTCCTTTTCTTCGTCATACAGCAAATAAAATTATGTGAAACGACTCACTTTGCTTGACTTCCTATGCCTTATATCATTGTGCAGCCATTTCAGTTTTTGACAGATTTTTATAATGTGTAGTAGGTTTTATAATATATAGTACGTTTGAATGGTCTGACTCAACTCTAAATCATTCCTGCTTTATAGATTCTCTTGTGTTTATAGCCCTTAACAACTCTGAGAGGTCCTTATTCCCAGCAACCATTTTTATTGGCAAATTGAGTCCTCAGAAGTTGGCTATATCAGCTCCTTAAGGTTTTAAACATAACTCCCAGGGGTTGAGGTGATTATTCTAATGCTGTTGGCTCATATTTCCATTCCAATGTGTTCTCCCTAATATTTATCAGTGATTACTGTCCCAATATAATTTGCTAGTGCCAGTTCAGCTCTCAATAGCATTAATGCCTTAACAATTCAATATCAGTTTAGCTAGGTGATTTCTTCTCCATATCAATTAAAATCAATTAGCTTTTAAAAAGACATATTTACTAAAAAGTTATACCAAAAACAGAAATGCAAATACATCCCCACCTCCTAAAAAAGTGGGGGCACACTTTTCTATTTTAGGCCCTTGGTGGAGTGGGCTCAAAATTAAAGGAGTTGCTACAAAGCATTTGCCCCATAAAATTTACTTCCTAGAGAGGTATGATTAGTGGATAAATCTGTTTATTAGTTTGCAGGTTGTGGCATCTTGTCTCCTAGAACAAATACACTTGCTGGGCTGGATAAAAAAAATCAATTATTAGGTCTGTGCAGGTTTGCTGGGCTTAGCTTCTGTCAAACTCTGGTATAGTTCTAGGACGTGTGGTGGCTCCTCTAACCTTTCAAGATCACAGGGCTCATTCTATCCTCTATATTACTTCAGCTAAGAGTAGGAAAGAATAGACAATAGAGATAGACAGACAGCTGTATCATACTCATAGCCATATATTGGT